GTCAGAGTTGGCGGGTAATGAAGCGAGTTATAATATAAAACTCGCCTTGGAAGTCGCCAGGGCTGGAAACGCAAGATGGGTGTCCGCGGAGAGATTTGCGGACTTTGGAGCAGCGTTAGCTAAAAGTACAAAATCAGGAGAGGTAGCGGGGATACTGTTCAAGCTTCAAGCAGCGACAAGCTCGGCCAGCAAGTGGGTGACCGTCCAAGTTCGACAACAGATCCAATAGTCATCTCCATTTTATCGCAACATTTTAGAGTTGCGGCTTGGCGGCGGCCGTGTCTCACATCCACTCCACCGTGCATCGCTTCAATTCTAGGCTTTTAGTCAAGTTCAGTAGGCGCCCAAGCCCGAGAATTCCTTTCCAGATAGAATATTCGCAATCTTCTTCGTCCCGGCAGAACAGCGGTCAAGCAGTAGAAAGCCCACGTACTTATCGTCGAGTAAGAAAATTTTGATCGTGATCACAGCATGATCAACGCGAAATAACCAAATGCAGCTACAAACACCCTCAGAAAACTCGTCTCTATCAAATGGAGTACCAATCAACCCTTACTTCCTGTTCCTCTCCACATGCGTTCATCTTTCAAGAGTCCGCGATGAATTCAAAACATAAATGTGAACGTGCCTCGAGCTCGCCTCGAACGTGCCTAGCCAGAGCCATTCCCTCCAATGCCGTTTTGCCGAGCTCACGTCATACTTCCATTCAATCATAATCCAGTCTAAGAAGAATCCCTCGACGCGGACCTATTTCTGTCTTTCCGTATAATTCCGTCCATTAGTTACACATCCGACTGAATGGTGGCGCGAACATCGCATCAATCGAAGTACTGTGTCATTTTATAATCCGAGTCCGGATTCAAAACTCTTATCGGATATCCATGACTGGTAGATAAAGGTCGGTATCAATACATCTATCTATTAGTCCATGTCTTACACACACAGTGTGTATCTACCACGCGCTCTTACGCAGCTTCCCGCTGGAAACGAGATGACGGTTCGATAACATTTGCTCATGCCAACGTCACATATACCTACATCCGATTACTCGTGGTTGCGAGTGGCGTGACGACATATGCAAGACCGAAAGGAGTCTGGACCCCTTATCCATGTACGGCCCGTGACCTTGACCACTCAACGCTTCTGTGCTTGCGCTCGATCCGAAAGTGGGAGCTTTCGACTCGGGCGTCGAAAACTTCCATTTCAGAGGGTACATTAAACGTGAGGAAGGAAGGAAGGATATATACGCGGAAACCACTCGGTTAGTATCTAGTACCCATTCATGATCGCCCTCACCTATATGTTAAGAGAGGTGATCTTCACCGTATCGCCTGCAGGGTCCAATTTCAAGAAGCCTAATCGCCTTCGTCCTTCACGTCCGTCTCCGCCTGCCTCGGATGGATTCGGCTCTAAATATCTATGTAAATCTATACGGCTTAACCAGGTAAAACAAGCAATACGATGATACGCATCTCATCGTTTCCATATCACAAACCCCACTTTCTCTCTCAACCGTTGGGACCATCCCTCTCACATTTCGATACAGTACATACAAGCAAGACTCCTTCCATTCCATTCCAGCTAGGGTCGTTCCTCTCCGACATCTTATCCGTCCCCACAAACCCGAGCCTGAAATTTAAGCTCGAAGCTTAATCGCTATCAATGCTTTCGAGTGCATACATGCCACAATGACGAGATAAGTATCTGATGCCCGAGATGATTCCAATCCCCTTCTCCGAGCCCATCTCTTTAATTTCTCTGCTGTAACTAAATTACGATACGTACTCCACGCTCCTGTCCGCGGCAGTGGCAAATCCTCTTGTATCGTACATATACGTATCTTAGTCAGGTTCGGTATAGTTTCCTTGATGATCGCCGGTACGTACGTACATACACACATGGAACTTGTACGGGTCCTTCTACATGTGTACAATTATAATCTTCGCGTGGTCTACAGATCCTTCCGAGTCGTCGACTTGAGATTTTGCCGCGTTGGCGTTAGCGGTGGGGATTATAATCACGCCGTGTTTATCATGTACTACGGCACGTGTAGACGATTACATGTCTAACCGTCTCCCCCCTACACACAACTCCTCTTCACGAGGAGGCGTATGGATTATACTCTCGGAATTCTTGGCCACAGATGTTTAGCCAAGTCTTATTGTGCTTTGTAATGGGCTTGGGACTTGAGGGCTCATTGCTGTGCGTCGTGTGAGTGGGAGCGCAGATCGCGGTCGTATGCATAGCCTTGTTTTATCACGTTCACATCCCTTCGGACCCATGATACTACAGGCAACTAGTTGATTCTAGTATGCATGCGGATTTTCGTGTGTGCGAACAAAAGTCTGGTTCGTGGGTGCTGTGGCGGTCAAACACTCAAGATTTAGAGATGGCATCGTGAAACTTTGCAGCTGGTTATAAGATTCATTCCTACCAGAACCCTCTCTGACGGCTATATAGTCCAGTGTCCATAACCTGTCACTGAACTCCTTCCTGGTCTTTTCTTGTGCTCTTTGTGAAGAAGAAGGAAGCTTGGTGATATAAAATTGAGACATAATATCATCACATTTCAGCAAATCAAATTTCGTTCATGTAAGCTGTACGATCGATGGGGGACATAGTCATCCGCATCCGCAAATCACAGTCATAAAAGAGGGGAAATTTAGAACCAACTTGAAAAAGTTGGATGCAAAACTACGCTTCCATGGCTTGAAATATGGTGCCCCGGGCCTCATAAGGATAACATTTGAGCAGTACTTTTGGATGCCCTTAACAACGAAAGAAAAAGGACCATCATTAGTGGATTGAGTATGATGAATGAGAATGAAATTCACTTACAATTCCATCTAGGAAAGGTCTTCAATGGGAATCATTTCCGTTGGAATCTCGGAAAACGTTTCTCGAACTTTTGTGCGAGAATTAAGTCTGCTCACATATGTGTTGGGGTCATCAGCAACGAAAAGCCCATAGACACAGAATTGACGTACGTGACCTATGGTCATTAAGACAAGATGTGATCGAAGGCATTTGAGCACAATGGTGGCCAAACTTACAAGCATTGAGTTGACATATACTGGAATTAATAAGGAACAAGTATTAGGAACAACAGCTGCAAAACCAATGGTCATGAAACATACATTTTGCACTGATATAGATGAAAACTGGTCAATACCACCCGTCAGCATCAAGGTAATTGGAAATTTTCTAAGTATGAGGACATACCTGTGTAAATGACACTTGTAGGAGCAACATAGTACTGAGGTAGATTAGTGCCCTTCAGTGACAACTATTTATAACCCATTCAATCAGTCCTGCTTACAGTTATAAGTAAACATGATGCAATGATGCTTGTCAGTAGTCCATTGCCCACTCTGTATGTGAATGAATAGGTCCATTTCATACTGGTTGAAAAAACTTGCCTGAAGACAACCAGATGCTTGATCACGTTTTCGGTTCTAAGAGCACATTGTATGCAGATTTCCTTTAGCCAAGTTAGAGAACAGAGCTTACCTTCTAAATCCAGTCCGCATTCTGTACAGAAGATAGAAGAGAGATGCGCTTATGGTTACATCACAGATAATATTCAAAACTGAATATACCACGATCATGTCCTTGCTCCAATAGAATTCAGAATCTGGCAAAAGTCTTAAGAAGTAGATGACCCCACATGTGATAGCGGTGCTCTGAGATCTTGAAATGGGGGATTGCTATAACTGTCAATCTTTGAGTATTCTTGATAACAATGAAATGTAGTGAGACAAACAATAAAGTATTAAGTTCTAAGATGAGGGACCACATGTTTGAATCAGAAAGCATAGAATCGTCGGAAAGTTGCTTCACTCAGTCCATCACCTGACCAAAAGTTAGCAAGATCATCTAAGGAATGATATTAGCTTACAATATTGGGCAAGAGATGTGGCCAACCTACATCAGCATTTGAGGAATATATATAGACATGTATGATGGAATGATGCCTACTATGAGTGTGACAAGGGGTTTTTGCCATATATGACCAACACTGACTATAGACAATCAAGCAGAATGTGCCATGTCAAACGATAGTACTCACGGTGATATACTCTCCACCCATAGAAACTGACAAGGTAATATGGTGACCTCAGATCAGGCAATTAACACTGGATAGTATAAGTGCACCTCTGAACTACCCATGTGACAGTGGCCTACAACATCAGTTGGTATCAAGAGCCACGAAAAAGTGAATGATCACGCACACTTGCTATCAAAGTAAGCTACCAAAGGCGTCGACATCCCCATTGAATACTCCAATTTAGTGAAGACGCCACGTAGTGCAGTACCCCTAGAAAGAAAAGGTCAGCATTGTTGCAGCAGTCAATGGCATCAGACTGACAAAGGAGTGTTGAAAGCGGTTAAATGTCTTCTCGGGAAGCTTACACACTATGTAAGAATGATGCGCTGCATCCCCTAGGAAAATCATCTGTACACCCTCTAGGACACTAATACAATTCAAATCCCCAAATGGGAAAGACTGCCAATCAAACTCACAAAAGTACTGCAACCTGTAGACGATGGTTTTTGATAATTCAACAAACTACTACTTTCAAAAAATTGTGATCATCAGGATACATGCAGCAATAATAGGCCGTTTGTGAGCATGTAATCCCAAAGAACCTGAGTTGGAGTTAGGTGGGAGAAGAAAGAATCCAGAAAATGCTCCCATACGCAGCATTGGTCATCACAGCTGGTAGATAGCAAAGAGAAATGAGGAAGGTTGAACAACTAAAGTGGAAAGTACGCGCCTATAAGGATTGGTTCATTTATTGTCTCTGCACTCTCCATTGACTTGGATGTTCAAGGTAGATGACTTTACACTTGATTGCACTGTGGGTCTATTCAACCCCGCCGCCTCCATACACATCTCTCATCTTTCAAGGGGGTGGTTGGGGCTGAAACTCGTGGAATCATGGATGAGAGTCAGGAGAGTAATGTTGAGTAGAATCAATTTACAAATAACTACAACATCCCCCTTAGCTCAGTGGTAGAGTGCGTCACTAGTAACATGTACAAAATGACGAGGTCAGTCGTTCAAGTCGGCTAGGGGGAAATAATCTTTGGTCAAACATGACAAGTTTTTTTTTTCTACTTATTTCATCTTACTTTTATTATCACTAGACTTATAATTATGCCTCAGGCCATGATTACTACTCTTGACTGACTAGTACTAGAGAATCAATTGTTTGAGGAGATGTTGACACCTAGTAGGTGTCTTGCTATCTTCTTGGAGTCTCACACTGATCAGCCACTCAGTTTCTGGCTCTAGTCGATGGAGTTCAGAAAGGTTCTAGAAAACGTGTTTACCCCTTTGAGAGGTGGACCAGGTTTTTTCAGGAGAATGTTAAATGCTTTTCATACTGATCTTCAAAAGGGCTGTGGACATGTGTATACATATGATATTGGTATCCAGACCAAGGAATCAGGGGTAGCATTGAAAGTCAATCGAGCTGAGGAATCGTTAACACAATCAGCAAGCTATGAAAATGGAACATGTCGAAGAAACATCTCATCGCGTGGTCTGTAAACGGCTCCCTCCTGCGTGGCTGCCTTGCATTGATCCTTCAGTGTTCACCTCACGCTTACTAGGCCTCTCCGACCAATGACGATCCGGGTTCATTTCTTCTGCAATAATTACTTGGCGCTCCTTGCGCTTTCCCTTGTCACGCGGCGGTGTCATTCTCTTGAACCTGGCTGGTTTTGGTGTATCCTACAGTGAGCAAAGATCAGGTTCTGTCAATCAGGTGGCTTATAAACAAGAACACAAACATGCAATCCAAAATTTCGCCGCTTTTCAATGAATAGAGGCTCAATCTCATCGAGAAGCTTAGAACGGAAGGGGAGAACGAAACAGAATTCTCGTTGTTTCACCGGACTTCCATCAAGGATAACAAAAGTAGGATCTGTGTATCTCGCTTCGCGCTTAGGACACGTGTGGTGGAAAAGCTCTTGAAGAGCCCGGAGGATTAGGTCGGAAAAGAAGAATTCGTAGTCTTTGAAAAGGTATTGATCAGACATGCTGGAGACAATAGGGGCGAGGAGAATAAGATCAAGGAGGACGGGCAAACGGTCTGTGTCAAAGCAAGTTTGCTCAACCAATAAGGCGTTGTTGCTAGGCCAAGCATCAAGCCTTTTCACAACAGTAGTTAAAGTATGGGTGTTTAGGGGCACTGCCCGCAAATAGAAGTAGACATGGTGCCCAGGAGAATGCATAGCGGATATTGCAGCGACAAGATACTGGTAGAGTTTGCTGGATGTGTGCTCTTTGTAAGCACGAAGCTCCACAACTTTTTCTCGCGAGATGCGAGTTTTATGGGACCCATAATCACCGCTTTTACTCGAGACATAGACCTCCAACACTTCTTTTTCCCATTCCTCACAACTACGCGTCTGAGAGCGAAACTCGACAAATGAATCGGATGCATTTGGGTGATTCATCGATCTCATGCCTGAAAAAAGTGTATCGTTGACGAAGGCAGAAATATTATGAATCGCCCCAAGGACGAGTCCGGAGCGCTGCATGGTGTACGTCCGTCAGCAGGATGAAAATCGTGAGTGGCCACAAGAAGACGGGGTGCCACTGGCTGAGGAGCAGGCGCCTGGTGCCCATTATAAGCATTCTATAAATGAACACATGGCCAAGAATGACACCTTCTGTTGAAGCTTGATGCCTGTAGGCTGTGCAGGCCGCCTCAAGGCCAAGCTTAATAAGGATGAAGTTCTCGCCATCTCGATATCCTGCCTGATATTGTAACCTCACCTTTCCGAGGACTCGTCAGTGACTGTGAATCGAAGAAGGCCCAGTTTATTAGGGTAAGTACATGCCCTCTGTATTCGAAGATCCTCACCTACTGACAGCGCGGTCCACCCAGAAGAAAATCCCCGTTGAATCAGGTTGTTATTGTCTTCGTGATGTCGGTCAGCTCTTGTTGTATGGTTGCCACCGCTAGAGCGGCCGTTGTATCGAGAAATAAAGACAATTCAATTGTCACGGTTTGAAAGTGCCGACGGTCCCAAAAAGGAAGGTCGCTAAAGATGATTGTTCCTACCTCCCACAACTTTGATCATCCATGGGCACCCAGCTACTGACCTGAGGCCTGAGGCGTCTCAAGCTATCTTACAAGCAGAATATAACTGTCCAAGTGCGAGGAGTAAAACATTCAATTCTTCGAAGCCTCAATGCCACCATCTTGAGGTCTTAGGATAGTGCGTGGAAAACCGATACCTGTACTTGACGGTCAGATTCACATTCATCGAATTCAAGCTAGAACCCGGCAGTCTGGTTGAGCAGGTACTTACTCTGATCTGCGCAGTTTTACAAATCCATTAGCTGGCATTGTATGGTTCCAATCTCCATAAGGCAGATAGCTGTGAAACGCCTCGTGCGGAGTTCACATCGTATGCCAGTGAGCTGGGAGATTGTAACCAACTGGAGATGACGCGGCTATCGATAAACTTCCAGTGAGTTACGGGACACAGAAAAAATGACGATTTCATCATCGGAAATAGTTGGTTCGCCTGCAGCTGTAGTAATGGAGAGATAAGATTATGGTTTGAGGGACTCAAGATGAAGCGCAAGCGCGCCTTGATAATCATGTGAGAACTTTGGAGCGATCAGCGCTTTTATACTCGTCCTGTCAGTAATTCCCGCCGTTCAAGCCGAAGAGAGTTCGATGTCGAGTAAGAATTTATAAGTTTTGTAGTACGAGACTTTGTGTGGCCGGTAGTTACTGCCTGGTTTTGAGACTACCGGAGCTTACTAGGACTCGTACCAGCGCTTAAGTATGCACGGCACTGACGGCATTTAGGACCCTAACAAGCGCCACGGAAATTACTCCCGTTTTACTAGTATCTGATTACGAGTAAAAGAAGCAGCCAGAATTGACAGTCGTGATTGAAAGAAAGAATTCTGTACCCATCGCTGCGAAATATATTTCCTCCTCTTTAGCATTCGAGAATGAGTGTGGTCGGACCGTTCTACATACCAGGCGTATCTTTCTGGTCATGTGTGTGGCGCAGAACCACTCTCACTTATATATAACAGATTACCATTTAGTTATAACTTAGAATACATCATTCCAAACAAGTGCTAAGCAAGAAAAATGTCAGGCGTGAGAATGGAAAGACCTTGTGAGAATGGCGAATCCCAGCCCGAGAGCAACAATTCCGAACCACGAGCCTCATTAGAAAGAATTTGATTTTTATTGGTAAACGGTATTTATGAACACATCACGACCAGGACACTCTCACGTCAAGTTTACGAATGTTCATTTTACTATTCGTCATACATGATGGACATTCCCCTTTCTGCTCGATAGCATTAGAGATACATCTGAGGAAGAAAAACAAAACGTGAGTTTTCTGCGCCAATACCAGCTTTGAAACACCACTCACGATGCAGAAAAGATGCTCACAGCGAGCGCATACAATGATTTTTGAATGACCAAGGTGAATTGGGCAGCAGCATGAGCGTGAGTTGGTTGAGACACCGCTCTATGTGGAGTCAGAAAGCTTTAGGGGATCTTTCAGCAAGAGAGGAACTGAGATATTAAGAAAACGTGTTTACTAACCAGGATCGCCTGTCTGCGCCGCACATTGGACAGTCTATTCTCCTGCTCAGGGTTGACAGTAAATTGTTCTTATACCTGCTTAGCATGCTCCTCTCTCTGTAGTTGTTTCGCAAGTTCCTCTTCCCAGCCATCTGGACGATAATCGACCTCAGAGTCAGTCATATGAGTGACGAACGGAGTGTCCAAGGTGAACTTTTAGTTCTGCAGAACTTTTCAAGATTTTTCCGCAGTGGTCGCAGTAGATGTGGTTAATAGACATGGCGTAGTGCTGTGCGAATATACATATAATCAGGAGTGAGCTAAGAATATGTGTGGCGCATGACACCTACCCTTCTGCAGGAATTCCTGTTTAGGGATCCATGATTGCAAGGCTCGCAATAGGGGTGTATGTCAGACGTTTGGATATGTTGGAGCAACTCTGTGAGCGATTATCAATTTCACAGTTGATGGATGAGTGCGATGAAGACATGGTGACGTTGTGATGTAAGCGCAGTGAAGCCATAGTGAGTAATCAGGAGGCGAGGTTGGATGATGGTGGTTAATGCAATGGTAAGTTGTGAATTTGTCAACGAATTCACTCCACTTTCCATCTTTTTCGCCACCTCCTTTTCGCGAACCCATTTTTCTCCGATGCTGGCAGTATAGGGGGTCATTTGGCAGTGTTCTGTGGTGAATATGGGAGAAGTCCGAATAGGTGGCCAAATGATGGCAATAACAGGAAGGCAATATTAACAACAAAAACCCCTGTTCAAGGCGTGTCTACCAGAGACAGGACTACGTACTGAGACAAAGTACAAGTAATCATGGAAGAAAGGAGATGAGAAGGCTTCAGACTCTTGTGTGACGCAGACAACCAAATTGAGACGCATATGCAAACTACCATTGAAAGACATCCTTGAAGTTCTTGAAAGACCTACTATACAAGTCCGCGCCAGTGATATGCGTCGATTATGAAGATCCTACATCCTGTTCTCCATCAAGCACTCTACGCATCTGTTCGAGAAGCGCATCGCGACGTTGTTCTCTTGTCTCCGGATCCATTTTGTCGATGTCGAGAGCATCACTGGATCCCCGCTTGATCTGATTACGACCCATCGGACGTGGTGAGGGATTCCACGAGGGCTTTGTTCCATCAGGGAGTCCAACTTCTTCTCTTGTGGAAGATTTCGAGGTAGAAGGACTATGGCTACGATCGATGTGTTGAACTTCCCGAACTTCTTGCTCGTTGTGTGCTGCCCGCGATACTGGAACTAGGGTCGTGTTCAAACTCTGTGAGATTCCCATAGACTGGTGTTGTATGAGTGAATTGTCTGGACTTTGATGACCCGTAAAGTAGTAGTGGTCGAGAGAGGAATTGCCCAAACGGTTATGCCGGCTTCCTGCGGCAGACGAATTCGATATTTCTGACGGTGTTCTCCCTTCAGCCGCAAACAGAGCTTCTGCAAACGTTTTCAGATATCTGCTCCGAGTGACACGTCGAGAG